TTTGTTAAGGAGTAAAAACTATGAGCCACGTAGTCTGTCATTAGTGAGACAGAAAAATAAGTGGACTTTGATGGAGAGTTAAAAATCATGAGCCAACATCTGCTCTGTGTTTGTAGAGGCAGAACAATGAGTGGACATTGTTAGGGAACTAGCCTTCCAAGTCAGCAAGCAGGAGACTGAGAGAATCTAGACTTTTGATGAAGACTGTTTGTGAGCTGCTTGTGTGCAGAGAAGAGTCACTAGTGTTCAGATGTTGTTGTTGTTGTGTAGTTTGTCAGGAACACGCTATCTAAGAGCTATATTCAGGTTGAGGAACCTGAGGCCTTGTTCTGCCAATCTGAAGTTGAGGAATAGAATTAGAGTAGAATACAAGAGATTTGTCTGGTTTTAAAAGTGAGTTTAGAAAAGTTTAGCCGCCACCACAGTTTGAGAATACCGATTTCTATCTCTGATTTGTTTGCTGCCGCGACATCCCAGTGAGAGAAAGGTCTGAACGGGCATTGTGGTTTAAGAAGTAAAGTTTATCTTCTGTGTTCATGTCACAAATAAAAGCTAAAACTAAGAAAGCAGTAACAACAAAGTGTGATGTGAAAAATCTTGTGTAAGTTACATGCTGCATGTAAAAGTATTTATCTGTCAGTACTCCTGTAATGCTGCCTGGCTGTAGCTTCCTCCTGCACTACTGAGAAGACAGTGGTGAGGACTGAGGACTGAATGGACAAATGCTGCAAGGACAGCATTCTGCGCGACTGTGACACTTAATAGTATTCACTGTTTTATAAGAAAATAACCAGACACTAAGCCACAACATCACCAAAATGTAAGCATCTCTTCATTGTGCCATTATCAACATTTTTCTGAAAATTTCCTGAAAATCTGTTCATGGCTTTTCAAGTTATCTCGCTAACAAACCAACAGATAAACGCTGGCTAAAATGTAACCTCCTTGGCTGAGGTAATACAAAAAACCAAAAAGAAGCAGGAGGCTTCAGTGAAAACCTTTATTATTTTCTAATTCAACAATCAAAATCTATTTTGTGCTCTTTATTTAATAACTGCATTCAGGTGTTCAAATCAGCGGGAATGTTTCTGAAGTAAAGACAAAAAACAGCAGTAAGGCATTTGACAGTGTATCAACTTTCATCTTTTACAGTCACATTTTCCAGCACGTTTCTTTGCCTTCCTGTAACGAATACAAGGCTGCCTTTAAGATGCTCTGTTGAATCTATGTTGGTTTTAGTCTGTGAAACAAACAAACAAAAAAAAAACAGAAGACGAATGCCTGAAGTACACTTAGAGGTAACAAATGCTAAATCTGGTTCTGGAGACAAGGTAGACTCATAAATAATAATCTTTCTACAAAACTAAAATATACATATTTATTAAGATGGATTAATAGAAAAATACTTTTAGGATTTGTAGCAAAACTGGCAACAGGTTTATTAAATTCTTCACAAAATGAATCTGCTTGTTTTGTTATGGGTGAATAAATTAAAGGACAAGTCCGCAATAAATGACAGAGCAGACAAACAGCTGCTGTACTGTACTACTGTACTACTGTAGGTTGGATTTGTGACACTTTGCTGACGTACCTGTCTGGATGGCGGAATCACACACCTAAAATAAGTTATTTTTATTATTATTATTATTGGAATTATTAGAGTTTGCTTTCTTGATTACCATTTTTTAATAATCTAATAACAAAAAATACCATGACCTGAGCAAATAGCTACTTAAATGTTCTTTATACCCAAAGTGCTAAACTTATTTAGCATCTACATTCTGCATCTTTAAATGCACAGAAATTTCCCTTTGTGAAGTTGTTTCTTTACAGATGCAGTTTGTGGGATGAATTTGTGAAGAGCTACAACTCCAGACTGTGTGAAAGAAGGAAAGGTAGCATGTTCACGTGTCATAGTTCTCTAGGATTCTGACCACACCAAGCTTTACAGAAGGCTGAAAACTGATGAAATGAGTTGCAAGTGCTGTTAGTTGACACAATAAGTCTCAAATTCTCCTTTTTACCAAGAACACTGTATCGCTAGTTAATGCAAAATGTAAAACTGTGTCTTAATAGAGTCATAAGAGCTATTACCTTATCGGAGAACATGTTTTAGGGCATGTCTGCTTAACTGACAGTAAATCACATTGGTCCCTTCCTCACTTTTTTGGACCAAAATTAGATTTTCTGTCTCCCAAACATGACATTCAGCATTAGATCCAAAGATAAGCTTTTCCCAAATGCCCCTTTAAAAGCTTGCGGTAACTTCACACATGCTCCATCCGTGTTTTTACAGGTCTCCCCTCAGAGGAGTGGTTTTACAGCATGCCGATCCACTCCCTGCCTGGCCTGGTAATGACTTAGCTGCCTTTTCTTAAGAAGTAAAGCTGGACATACCTGTTAGTCGCTCTACAAGCTGGATCAGCAGCTCCAGACATGCCTGAGCAACACTGTCCTAATCTACAGGTGTCAATAACCCAACACTTCAACAGGCCATAGGTGAGTGGCCATCCCCCTGCCCAGTCCTCATGTGTTTGCCGTTGTTAACCCGGGCAGTGTCTGCTGCTGGCCCGTTTGAGTCCTGCAGAGAAGCTATCGTAGGTGGGATGAGGCTGTCTAGCTCCTGCCGGTGCCCCGTTTCCAGAAGCCACTCGTGGAACTTGACCTCCACCAACTCCTGGAACTGCTTCCGCTGCTCCCTAAAGACATGAACAGAGAAAATCAGCCACAAAAGAGGGACAACATCTGTGGGATATTAGTGATAAATGCTAGAATGTAGAAATCGATCAAAGGATTTTTCCCACATTAGATTACATCCTATGTGCTGCAGAGCCCTCCAGCAAGTTTACTGACACCAGTAAACTCCATAATGTCTCAGCAGCAAGCAGCTAACTCGCATTCATATTGATTTCTGGAGTGGCTTTTCCGTTTACAGCTTTCCACTGATTAAAAGAGCACGCTGGATAATGGATAAACAAAACTTGTTGTCACATAGAGTCAAGTCGCCTCTGTTATTGAAACAGAACCTGTTAAACATCAGAAGTTCAGTCAAAGTGATGATATAAATTTACCTACAAATTTTAAACATTAAGATGAAAACCCCATAATATTATTTATTATACACATTTACCTGCCTAATTTAAATATTATGATCCTACAGTATTATTATGTTAATTTACCTTAAATTTTTAACCTTGCAATTTTAATTATTAAGGTGAAGACTCTACAATATTATATTAAATAAAAATTTGCTCAACACATTTTTTAAAATTACGGAGAAACCCTGACAATATTATTTATTCTACAAGTTGGCATGACTAAATCAAATCTTAAAGTTAAGCCCTTACAATATTATTTATTATATAAATGTATTTGACACATTTATCTGACAATTAAATAATGAAAATATGTAAATTGACCTGGGTAACTTAAATATGAAGATTGAGACCCTGCAATATTAGATAAAACACAAGTTTACCTGTAGAATTTAAATATTAAAGTTAAGACTCTACCTTTAATTACTAATTATAAAAATGTCCCTCACTAAATTAAATATTATACAAGGTTAAGACCCTCCAATATGTTTATTATTATTATGTAAATTTACTGACTAATTGAAACATTAAGATTAAGATCCCACAATACGAGGTGTGTCAGAAAAGTTTCAGGACCGGTGTCACAAAAGATATATTTCAAATCCAAACTACAAACTACGAGTTTTCCTCTTCAAAGTAATCCCCCTGGAGTCTAACACACTCTCCCAGCCTTCTCTGCCACGCCACCATGAACTTGTGGAAGGATTCTTCCAGGAGCCTCCACAGCTCCATCATCACAGCCATTTTGATTTTGTCCACATCTTCAAAATGGGTCCCCTTGATGACCCCCTTGAGCTTGGGGAAGAGGTAAAAATCCCACGGAGCCAGGTTGAGTGAGTAGGGAGGTTGCTCCAGCACAGAGATGTTCTTCTCAGCCAGGAACTGTCGGATGCTCAGGACATTGTGAGCAGGCATGTTGTCATGATGAAGCAGCCACGACTTGTCCTGCCACAACTCTCGCTTCTTCTTGCACACTGAACAAACAAATGCTGCAGGATCTCTTTGTAGACGTACTGGTTGATTGTCTGAAGGGGAAAACTCATAATTTGTAGTTTGGGTTTGAACTATATCTTTTGTGACACCAGTCCTGGAACTTTTCTGACACACCTCGTACTATTAATGTTGTACATTTCCCTGACTAACTTTTATACTAAAGGTTAAGATCCTACAAAATGATCTCTTATACAAGTTTACCTGCCTAATTTCAAACATTATATTTAAGATCCTACAATACTTACTAAATGTACCTGACTAATTTAGATACTAGGATTAAATGTATATCTATTGTAGATGTATGTAGATTGTGGATGTACTGTAACATATTTCCTGTCATATTATTTAGAATAATAAATGGTGTGATGAGGTCCTGATGTCCACTGACTTGTTGAGTCGAGCCTCCATCACTGTCTTCTGCCAGTTCTGTATCCTCTTGTCCTTTTCATCGAGCGCAGCCTGGTACTGAGGAGGAAGCCCACCAGGCACCTCGCATGTGTCGCCCTCCATCTGGAAAGGCACGACGATGGTGTGAAACTCAGATGGAGGCAGCAGGCGGAAGCAGGCATGGTCTGGGCAGGAGGACGTGTTAACTGGGGGGTTGGCGAGGCCCTCTGTCCCCAGAAGCAGGGGCCGATCCCAAGCATTGGGGACGACAGCCAGCCCCACACTGGCCATGTGATCCTCCAGGGAGGGGTAGAAAGTGTGGAAAGGACCCAGGGTGACGTCTGTGTTTCCAGGCAGGAGCAAAGGGCGGGTTGGCGTCAGGGCGTGGATGGTGCAGCGCGAGGAGGCGCCGATGGCGATCCGGCCAGCCACACACACCACCCGCACGTTGTGGCAGCTGTGGATGTGGACGCTGGTCTCAACAGGACCCAGAACCACCATGCTGTCCCGACATTTGTCCACACTGACGGATCTGAAGGCGCAACAAGAAACACGTCAAATGAACTTTTTATGTTATTGAAGGGCTCCAGATCAACTTTTTCACTGGTTCTACCAGCACATGACTTGATCGTGCCTCCCTCCCATTTCTTTTTGGTACAACATGGTAATAATCAACCTTGAATGATGGAAAATAGTTGTCTTATGCTGTTTAACCCCCTTTTTTTTTGCATAAGAGTGACGTAAGCGTGACTTGACATTATTGAAGTTACAGTAGATGCTGCTTGGTGGCCGCAGTTCACTTCAGTAAAAATTATTTTGAAAAAGGTGTGAAATAATGTGTTTTATTGTCAGATTTAGTTGGAACCACCTTTTAGTTTTCTACGAGCAGAACGCATTTTAAACTTCAATAACACAGTCGATCATTTACTTGTAGGAAGCCAAAACCATGATTATTAATCATATTCAGTTGGTATCTCCCTGACTGCACCTATCATCACCTGTGTCAGACCTCTTCTTGTCCACCACCTCTGTCTATTAGTTTTATCTTTTAAAAGAATCAGCTACTGAATGTTTAATCTTAACAGCTCAATGGATTACTTAGTGGCAAACATCTTGAAATTTTTACTAGCACACTTGGTCACAGTCTGGAGTCCTCCGCTAATGGAAGCTAACGTTACCTGAGAGGTGAGAGCAGGTATATGAAGGCGTCGGAGCATCTGTGGATTTTGATGTTGGCACCAGTCAGCTTGTCTGAGGTTTTGGCCAGCGTTTGTTTGAAGACCTGGGACATCAGCACCATCTTACTGCCAGGTGGAGCCGTGTGGGTGTTCCTGGCTATCCTGGCTCTCTTCATGGCCCCTTCCACTAGAATTCACACACAGAGGACAACCAGAAAGTCAAAGACATGTAGACAACTGGGTACAGACACAGTGAAGACGGCGAAGAAGTACTGATGCCAGGAGATTTTCAGACACCTTGTTGAGCCCAGGCGAGTTTCTTTCCAGAGCGGAGGCAGGCGGTTATGCCGAAGGGGTTGAGCGTGAGGCTGCGTTGGAGGCAGGAGAGGAGTTTGTGCAGGGGGAAGGAGCGGCTCAGTGTGGAGTAACCAGCTTGTATTTGAAGTGGACCTTTGGTCAGCAGCCGGTGGACGGGCTGGACAGGTCTACCAGGACAAGCCGAGCCCTCCAGGAGCAGGCCCAAACTCCGCACAGCATCCAGGGATATCTGACAAAACATAACTGTAAGATCAGCTATAGTTGCACAGGTACAGATACAGGGATGTCAATGATTAATTAAATAATTACCATGAATATCTGAATCAATTAAAACTATATAAACCAATAAGACAGACGAGGAACACGTAGGCATCTGGCGGCTATCTGGTTTAGCAGTGTTGAACAACATTCAAACTAAAGTAATGAAGTGTTGCAGCAACGCTCTGCTCTGAGTATAAATCCATTTTAGAGGTGGCAGTAAATACTGACAGATTTTCACGGTCGATAAAGTAGAGCGGCAGTACATCATCAAGTCGCTTCATCATGCTGATCAGCTGTGAGGATTATTCTTTTATCCAGCAGCAGTAAAGAGATTAATAACGTGACAGGTTATTTCCTGTGAAAGACTGCAACTCGCTTAATACTTTGGATTTTGTCGGGACAATTGTTGAGGAGCAACTTTAAATGAAGTCATTAATTTTTTCTTTTTAGTTTTTAATTTGGTGTTTTTCTGTCCTTCAAATTTTGAGCTAATTTAGCGACAAACATTAGACTTGAGTAGTTCAAAACTGTATTATCTGCATATGGAAAAACGTCCACTTGATTGCTAAGCAGATTGACGGTCAATTAAGCAAACAGTTTAAAATGTGCGTCCCTCGTAAGTTACAAATTAAAGACTTATTTCAGATGATGGATGACTGTATCTGCAAAACACAGAATAGCTGTTCTGCAAGCAAACACTTAAAGTAATGAGTGTTCCACTTATGGCAAATAAAATCGGTTATCATAAACAATTAATTCCTGAAGACTTTTTTCCATTCTTCTCTAGTAGTTAGTAAGAATTTTGTGATCTTCATCACTTTTAAGTTTCTTTTTAGCATTTGGCAAATAACTGGCTCTGTTTTGTACTTCTTCTACTTTGTTTACCGTAGCTATAGCATGTGTAACATAGTGTATGTCACCACCTTATGAGTACATTACACAACCTGATGTGTGGAATTTGCATTCTCTTTTTTTTTGACTTTAGAACATTAAAAGGTTGCTTCAAATTTGCTTGACAACTTTATAGAAAGACATCTAATGTTGTTATAAAAATCTAAAAACTGTAGCTGTGGCAGAAAGGAGGATGTGTGCTCGATGTCCACAGACCTGGCAGTCTCTTAAAGCCTGTCCAGATTGAGACAGCTGGCCGGGCTCCACCAGCAGCTCCAAAATCTCCGCCAGATGGCTTTGCACAAATGACAGGTGGGCCTGATCATCCCAGTTCTGCTGAACAAAAACAGAAATGGTGTGTAAGTGACACATCAAAATGATCTGAAGGATGACGATGACATAATTTGTGCTTTCGATTTGATGTTATAGGACGGAATAATCAGAATGACGCAATACACCAAAACATGCATTAATGCTATCAGTCTGTCTTTTATCTGTCACAATCACTCCATCTCAAACCATCAAATTACTGGTCGACCATCTGAGTGTCCTGAATGTTTTATAGCATAAAATATGAATATTAATAAAGGTATTTGTAAAATTTTAGATTGATATATTGAATAGCTTTCAAGACAAAATTTTTTAGAAAGTTGCCCGTTGACCCACTTTGGTTAAATTTGTTTGCACATTGAAATTTGAGGTTGTTTAAACAACATTATCTCAGGAACTATGAAAGAGAAAAGACTGAAATTCATACCTGAAATGTATTTTCATTTATGTCAACAAAGTGGCATCCAAAAATGAAAACGTGTCCATGTTAAAAGAAAAAATGTACTTAGTTATATTTTGAGAACCATTTTTAACTCCTGAACTACCTACCAATGTTTGTGTTTCTGTGGCAGCTTGTCACACCTACTCAATCAGTTATGGAAGTTCAAGACCACGTTTTTCATATTGAAAGTATTCTATATGTTTTGTTTTGTATTATTGTGACATGCAGCTACATATGGGTCAGAAAATATCACTAGCTAACTTTTACATTATCCAATTTTGTTAATGTGTGATTAAAACGGGAATTTTCATGACGGCTTCATTTTTTTTTTCTTCATATTTTAACTTACTTATGAGCAGATATACTTATATATAAAACTGCCAATTCTACATCAATGACATGATGAGAAATGCCAGTGAAAATTTTAGACTTTTATCCTCAATAGTTCCTGGGATATTGCCATTCAAACAGTCTCAATTCTCAATGTGCCAAAAAAATTGAGCTGAAAGTATGTTGACAGGGGAAAAAAAACATATCTAGGAAAGTATTTGATCTATCAATCTAAAATTTCACAGATACCATTGAAAAAAAAGTTTTACAAAAAAGTTTCAGGTAAATCAGAGATGATGGGTTAGAAGGCCCCTGATAATCTGAGATGGAATCATCCAGTAAAGAGGACCTTGTTCTGAGAGCTGGTCTTGGCCTCTCGGTCTGATGGAGACGGGGATCGAGTGCAATGGCTGGGCCACTCTTCACCAATCAGGGAGGTGCGCAGTGACACTCGGTTCAGCTGCTGGATGTAGAGGAAGAGGAGGAACTGCAGTGTGTCCACAGACAGCTGGAACACAAAGGAAAAGAAACAGAAACGTTTCAATCTGAGAGCAGGGTTACAACACTGGGGCAAAACACAACAGTGCGGCAAAACACAACAGTGCAATGAGTAGCACACAAACATGCAAGAAATAAGATTAGATAGTATTACATTCAGAGGTAAGCTGAGCTATTTGAACATGTAATCTGTAACTAAACCGTACTCCACCCCCTTTTGTCTTCACCTTGTTCCTTTGTAGGTCAAGCTCGCTTTTGGAAGAACACTGGGAAAGACACTCTGCCCACTCCAGCCTCTCCTCTGGTGTGTGGCCTATAAGAAGATCAAACGTCTCAAAGTAAAGCCACGCAAGGTCTTCTGGAAGCTGCAGCTTTTCACAGACGATGTGCCTCCACATGGGCCAGCCCAGAACGGGGAAGCAGCCGTCTCGTGTTCGTACATAAGTGGCCATCTTACGAAGGTAGTGCAGGCTGAGTTTGGAGGAGGGAGCCACCTATGACAGTGTAAACTCTGGTTATTTTAAAATATTTGCTTCGACAATATCTTCACACTGAATAGTGGTTAGGAGTGTATTCACCTGCAGGGCACCTAGTAGGAAGGGCTCCATACGTGGCCATATGCTCACACTGTCTCCTTCCATGTCTGAACATAAAGGAAACAAAATGATGACACACAACAGAGAAAACGCAGAAATCATACCATGCTTATTAAAATGCATTCTTTGCATACACAGATATACAAAAACATTCTCTTTACAAACCCAGAGAGGCATATCTGGTTTCTTTAGAGTTAAATAAAGCAGTCAACTTAGATACGCCAGGCAGCGTTCAGGAACAAAACTGTGCCCTTGAAAATCAAAATAATTTCTTTCGACTGTCATGTTCGGACACTGATATACACCTTGTCTATTTAAAGTCAGGTTTTTAACCACGTCATATCAGTTATCACACTGTCTTACCTAGATTAAGTTATAAACTGATGTGAAAGCTGAGACACAGCTGTAGTTAAACTGATCCTACAAGTGCAAAACTACACTAACTTGTTATGATTTGTAAATTTGCACGTGCTCAACTACTATCCAAACTGTTCAGGTCACTGTTATTTAACATGACCATGAGCCATATTCCAGCAACTTCACTGTACATAAACAACAGTATATATTGCACAACTGCACAAATAAGGCTGTTTCTTCACAATTCTGGTTAAATTCTAATTGCATTAAATTTGGCAGATTTGTTCCTGTTGTCTGCACAATTACAAAACTGTCGAAAGCCTGAAAACAAGTCTTGATTTGACATGCACAACTGCAGAAATACTTGGCACAGTTTATAATATACAGTTACCAACAGAGGTGGGCAATGTCACTTAAAAAATAAATCATTCTAAATTGTATCGCTTAACAGTTACAATAATTCAACAATTTCCCAGGCCTGGGATAAATAAAGTCTATTCTATTCTATTCTTACTGTACTACTAATAATTTGAAAAATTGGGTTTAGAATAGAATAGAATAGAACTTTATTGATCCCTTTGGTGGAAACCTCAGGGAAATTGCTGTTAGGGTTCTGCCCTTATGTAAAATCGCAAAATAACAGTTTACATTTACTATATTAAAAATGAAGGCTCATACAGTTAGACATTTCATTTTTTATACTTTGTGTGTCAACATGTAATTTTGATTACTGAGTTAGCTCTCTTTGGCATTGATGTGTTCACACATTTCTGGAGAGATGTTCCAACATTGTTCACAGACTATTCTTTGCTGGAGGAGTTGTATTGCTCTACTTTTCTCTTTACAGTACCCTGAAGCTGCTCTTCTGGATTCTAGTCAGGAAACCAACTTGTTGAGGTCATTGTTTTCACTTTTTTGGACTTTGGAAATTCTTGGGTGCTTTTGTGCTTTGAAAGGTTATCGCCCCAACACCTTTAACAATATTGTCACACCCCTGCTCCTGTTCTTCACTGTCAGGTCTATGCATTCACTGTGGTCCCTTTCACACCAAATATGCTGGACCCCATCTGAGCAGAACATATTTATCTTGATCTTATCTGGCCAAAGAATGTCCATCCATCCATCCATCCATTATCTATACACTGCTTAATCCTCACTAGGGTCATGGGGGGCTGGAGCCTATCCCAGCTGACTGAGGGTGAAGGCAGGGGACACCCTGGACAGGTCACCAGTCTATCACAGGGCTACACTTAGAGACAGACAACCAAGCACACTCACATTCACACCAACGGACAATTTAGAATCACCAATTAACCTCAACATGTTTTGGACCTTGTGGGAGGAAGCCGGAGAACCCCGAGAGAACCCACGCTGCACGGGGAGAACATGCAAACTCCACGCAGAAAGATCCTGGGTGTCCTCACCGGGACACAAACTGGCAACCTTCTTGCTGCGAGGCAACAGTGCTACCAACTGTGCCACCTTGCAGAATGTGCTCCCAATATTTAGCAGACTTCTTCTGTTCTTTAGCAAAGTTTACTTTTGTGGTTTTGTGCCCAAGAGTAAGCATGGGTGTTTTTTTGGATGGCATTCGCAGAGGCTGATGTTGTTAAATATCCCTCACATGGTCTGTGCTGTCACAGAAACTCTGATTTCCATTGATAATCCCTCTGCCAAGCCTTAAGCAGCTGCCCATCTGTTTTTCATTACTAGATTGTGAAAGTCGTTCACTGTCCATGGAACCCTTTTAGTAGAACAAACACTGCAGCTCTGATTAGTGGTAGTATGGCTCCTTCTATACCTCCTGATTACTGCAGCAGCTGTGTCTCAATGATTTGTAGTTGTTCACTGATCTTCTTATATTCTTTTCCGTCTTTGTGAAGTGTTCACAGTCAGATTTTTGCAGTTCCTCTGGCAATTCTTCTCTATGTGGAGCCATGATGTAAACATGCAAATAAACTCAGCTTCCAGGTCCAAGACTGACTCTAGTGTTCACAGTTCATTTTATAATCATGTTCATGGAGTTAGTCTGATCTGAAATCGCAGGTGGATTCACGTTTGTTGCACTGAGTTTTATATTTTGGGGCTTGCATTGTCAATAATCAAACATTTTTGAACGAAAAACACCCCACTGTTCCGCTTAGAAATAACATTTAATGTCATTTACAGGTGATTCAATTTTGAATTATTTGACATTTCAGTGATATTGCACAGGGGTGTATTCTGTACTGGCTGATATTTGCAGCTGAAATAATGCTATTTCTGTACAATTCTGCTTGGTTATACCTGTCTTTCATTAGCTTTATTTGTTCCTGTACTCTGCACAATGGAAATTAAGCTGAAATCTAATCTATTTCTTTTTACCATGGCGACAAATGTCTCCTGTAAATGCTCCCATGACAACTAGCAACACCTGACTTGTCATCACAATAGCAATTTTGACAAGCTAACCAAACCAAACCGGTCAGACAGGTGGTAAACGAGCTGAAAACTCATTTGTTATTGTATCAGAATGAGACTGGCAGGTTAATAACCGGACGAGCGAGCGAACTATTGTTGTTTCGTAAAGTTAACTTCACCGTCTCCTGAGCTAACTTAGCTACCGTTAGCTAACGAAGCTAAGGAGGCTCTCACCTGCAGAATGAGTCCGGGCTGCTCAGTGTTTGGTCCGGATAGAAGACACACCGCTGGGTCGAGAAGTCATAGGAGTTAATAACGATGAGTCCAGAGGTTGAAGCGGTTTGTTGTCAGACTACAGCTGCCCTGCTTCCTATTTGGCGCGCTCCTCTCCGCTCACATCGACATCTGTTGCGCGCATCTCACGGGAGCGCGCTTCAGCCTGCACCAGCGACCGTATCCCGTTTTCACACATCACTCAAACCAAACGTGCATTTTTTTTGTTTGTTTGCTGTCTTTACACATGAAATCCGTCCACTCAGGAGAAATCAGGTTAAACAGTGACAGATGCTGCGTTCACATGACGATGAGGTGTTTCTTTAAGGCGGGGCGGAGTTTAGCCGGAGAGGCGGATTTGCCGACAACCAGAGGGAGGGCTCTGTCTGACAGGAGGAAGACGGCTGCTGACTGGCAGCGGGATCCGAGCTTCAAAAGCCGGCTGTTTCTCTTTTCGCTACCTCCTTTGGAAGAATCCCGGGATCTATGGCTGCTAAAGGGATGAATCTGTGCCATGTGTGCTGCCTGCTCCTGTACGTGATCACGGCGGTGTTGGCGGGGTAAGTGTGAGCAGCGACACAGCGGCGAAACAGCATCTCCAGCTGGTACACATGTTCCTCTGTGATTGGTCTAAAGCTGCCCTCCATGTGTGGAGAGGACCGGAGCAGGCTCACACACCGAGCTAACCTGCTAGGAACTGCCCTGCTGCTGTCTATCTGACTCTCTACATCCAGTAACCAACACTAGTACAGTACCGGCCATGCGTTGGTTGAAGCTAGCTTAGTTAGCTCGGAGCTAGCAGTGAAGCTAAACTAGCTTCCCCTGGTGTCTGACTATCAGGACACCTCTCTGAAGTAGCACCATTGCTATCTAGCTACACTTGTCTTGTCTTGTCCCTAACTTATCCCCCTGTGTCCTGTCCTGCAGGCGGGATTTCTATAAGATCCTGGGGGTGACTAAGAGTGCCTCCATCAGGGACATTAAGAAGGCCTACAGAAAGCTGGCTCTGCAGCTGCACCCCGACAGAAACCAGGACGATCCCAAAGCTCAGGACAAATTCGCGGACTTGGGGGCAGCTTATGAGGTGGGTTGTGTGTTTGGTGCCGGTGATACATGAAGAGAGGCTACGTAAACATATTCCGGCTCAAAATATGCTTTTATGCACATACAATCATCAACAGATACTGTAAATGGTTTGTGTGCGGAAGAGCCTGAAGCTCTGATACAAAAGTCTTTTATGCGGCTGCTATTTGGTTGTTGTTGGAAACGCTACGGCCGCTGTGATTGGTCGATTAGACCGTGTGGCTGCTTCTGATTGGCTGTTACGCAGCACAGCTGGCCTTCTGAAAACTCAGACGTGGATGAGAGGGAGTGGATTCAGATAAGAGCTGCCGGTGTTTCCTGTCAAACCTTCCTATTAGTTTTACAATTACTGATGTCACTGCGTTTTTACCATTTATTAGCGGTTCATAAATATTAAACACACCTTTCTAACATTACAGTGGAGTCATCATATTTTATCAGTGCATTGTAAATAGAT